CATTGCCTTGCCCCCCCCCCACCCCCAATTTCGACCTCCTCTCACTTATCCAGGTGGTAAGTTACCTGGTCACAGAAGGAAATGAGTCTGGTTAAGACAAGACCTGCCCGCGAAGAAGCCATGCTGGCTATCATTCAGAATCCTTCCTTCTGCAAGCATATCGCACATAGGCTCCTTGATGGAATTTTCCAGGATTTTCCCTGGGATACAAGTTAGGCTAATTGGCCTACAGTTGCCCAGGTCCTCTCTCCTCCCCTTCTTGAAGATGGGCACAACATTGGCCCTCTTCCAGTCTTTAGGGACCTCCCCCGAGCACCCTGAGTTCTGGAAGAGTTTCACCAAAGATTCCGTGATGATTGGCCAGCTCCTTCAGCACTCTCGAATGAAGTTCATCCAGTCCTGCTGACCAATAAATGTCTAACTTTTCTAACTGATCACACACCAGCTCAACGTCAACAGTAGGAAAGTGGTCATTCCCACCAAGCCTATTCTGAACCCTATCTAGAATGATTTTCCCTTAGTCCTCCTGTTCCCTACATACCTAAAGAAGAACTTCTTATTGTTCTTGATTTCTGTTGCTAGTTTAAATTCACTCAGTCACCACCTTAGCCTTTCTAATCTTCTCTCTACAAGTGCGAGTGCCCCCTGCCTCTGATCGCCCTCCCCACAGCCCCTTGCAGGCTGGAGCCCATAGTTTCCCGTATTTTTCTCCTTTAAAGGAGAAAAGCTGTGTTTTTCTCTGTTAAAGGAGAAAATCCATATTTTTCTGCAGCAAATGGAAAACACAGATTCCTGGTAACAGCTCTGTGCCTCAGTCATCATTCCTAAGCACATCACCTTATATCCAGCACACTCAACATAACTGAATCCATCTTTTACAACATAAAATCATATGGAAATATTACATAATTTTCCTCAGGTTTGGGCCCCAACAGCCCTCTTCCTGAGGGGGGCCTGGGCCCTCAGGCCCCCATGTACTTGGCCCCTGTGCCTGTGAGCTGACATATAATTTGTTCACATTTAACAACGTTCTGCAGCACTATCCACAGAGTTATACTTCAGTGCATACTCTGCTAATTTTACTAAGCTTACTGAAGGGACTTTAATTATACAGCAGCCTAGTTCCAGGTGAGCTCATCTACAATTATGTAAAAAACAAAAAAGAACAAACAATTAAGAGGTAATCAAAAGAGTCTCCGTGTTGATAAAACAATAAGAAGCTCCCAAGGTCATAGACTAAAAATTCATTAAGTCCAAGGGAAACAAACATTTATAGATCTGAGAATATGAAAGTTATTGTGATTATTTCATGAGTAAGTTAATATTCTGGTTTTGAAAGATACAGTCTATTGCTACTTGCATGATTAATACTGATAGATTTGGGGTTGGCCAGGTAATCAAATCACAGCATCCTACAAATTCAATAAGGAGACAAAGGTGTGAAACCTTATTCTGGGCTCTTTAAATGGAAAGAGTCAAAGAACACTATAAAATCTGAGCACATATGTGCTCAGTTTACCCAGGAAGCACTTAGATACTCTTAAGATGAGTGCTAAGATGGACAGACTGAGGAGCCTGGTATCATTTCTTACCACTCATAGGTCATCTCAAATTAATAAGAAAGCAGTTGATTGATCTAAAGAACTCAGCTACCAGTCTACCCTATTTTAGCCATAAAGCATGGCCCACAAAAGTAAATTTGTGAAGAACTCCAAACATTTTAAATGGTTGGAAAAGATTAAACCTGCTTACTTTCAACCCCAAGAGAAATTTAGTTCTGCAAATTGGTAGGCTCCGTGATGTAAATAACTATCTAAACGAGGCAATTACACATTTCTGATATATTTCTGACATTTTTTGAAGGATGCTCTTAGAGAGGTTCCTCAGACAAAGCTTCAATACCTTAGTAAAAATATGTTTCATAAAACTATATCTGCCATACATGGTGCTCCTGGGTTCATCAACGGAATGGTCAGAGCCAGAAAGTGGGAGTCAGAAACTCTTAACACTGACTTATCTCTCTCTGGCTACACAGTTAAAGATGAGTGGGGTCTGCCTCTTTATCTTCTTAATATGTACAAAGAGTGTAAATGGGAGTAGGCACCCCTATACCCAACTAAAAGCCATACAGCAGCTTTCTACTTTGGTGCAAAGATCAATCTCAGTCAACTGATTTCTGAATCAGAACATTAGAGGCATCTCACAGAGCTTTTGAGAGTCTGCACTCCTTTCACATATGAAATTCATGAAAATTTACTTCTGCTTCAATTATCTTTGTCCTATTACTTTTTTTAAGATTAACAATAGCAGTCACGACCTCTTTTGCATAAAAACTTGGAGGAATTAAGCTCCACCCACTGCTGACATTGCTACTGAGCACATACAAATAGCATCCTTTCACCCTCACTCTCCCTCTCTTCTCACATACTGCTACATTGTCCTTGCTTCTGTCAAGCCTGGTACATTGCTGCCTCCCTCAGGGGGGGAAAGGAATAGAAATACCACAGGCTTGAAGCAGCACAGGTTATAGCCAGTGAATAATAGAGCTGGTCAAGAAAACAAATACATTTCATGTATCAGAAAATTAGACAGAAACAAGTTTAAAAAAAATCAAAAGTTTCCAACCAGGTCTATAACTGGTCAACAAAACTAAAGGGAAGAGAAGGGAAGTTCAAAATTCTAAAGTGTATTTTTTTAACTGAAAATTAAACTGTTGTCCAAAATGTATACTAACTAATAAAAAGTAAAAAAAATTCAGGTAGCTAATCGTAATACAGATTGTGACCTCACCTGTTCGTGTTCTCATGACAGGTTTGCTTTGTCCAGTGCCAGCTGCTTTATTTTTGAGACAGTTGATCCATTTTTCCATCAAATCTTTTTCTATAGTTGCAGAGTCTAAGAGCTCACCTATAAAAAAAGATGTGAGCTGAGAAAGTAGAAAAGAAATAAAGTACAACCTAATAGGGAAGGCAAAGAATTCTCCATCTGGATGTTACAAATGTCTCCCTGTGAAATGGAACACTGTAGGCAAGGGAAAAAAAACCCCAGACTACTGGCCTGTAGAAAGGAAATTGGTGGATTAGCAGCTTGTAAAATTACCCAGGCTCTATCACATAAAAGTATCTTAATTTGTTCTTCTCTACTCATATGAGAAAAAGATAGTATAAGATATGCAAACAAAAGTTCCAGAGACAAATGTAGGTCCAAATCTGCAGTGCACTAAGCACCTTCTGTGAGTTACTAAGAGCCCTAAAATACCACTTCAATTAGACTTGATGGAATTTTCCACCAAGTAGACCCAACATCAGGGACTACACACACCCTGCACTAACACACATATACAGCACAGTAGAAAATCATAGGTAGAAATGGTTTTGTGATTTATTTCCCATTCTACAAGCTCTTTCCTTTAACTGGTATTCATCATTGTAGATCTAGTGCTCTATGGAGAATCATTTTGGCAAAGAAAAAAGGCCATATCACCTTTTCTTTAACTCATCAATTTATTTTGCATTTTACTTGTGTAAATTGAACGATTAGTTCTCTGATGCTAAAAAGAAGGATTTCACTAGCTGTTAGTGGAGTATTTAATAAAATTCTATTAAAGAAGGAAGGTTTTATTAAAATGTGTCCACTATGAAAACGGACTCAAAACAAACTTACTCAGCTTATCACCTCAGACATAGTTCACTTATATAACAAAGCATGAACAAGCCACCAAAGCAAACATTATCTTATTACACGGATCTTTGACAATTTGATTTTTAAGGCTACCTTCTGCCCCTGGACACAGATGGTTTCTATTTCAGATATATGAATCTGAGGGCAAAATTTGGCCTATAATGTAGAGCTTGTGTACCTAAAGAAGTTTTACGGTGAATCATTAACTGTCACAGTGCCAGCTGTTATTGCAGAGAAAAAAAGAATGCACTGGGCGGGTTAGAAAGGGAAGGAAAGACACTAAAATGGGTGTCCACAACTGGATAAAATGCATATGCTTGCTAATATGTTTTAACTAACAGATTTTAAAACCCCTGTGCTGACAAAGCTATTTGTATTCTAACATAAGCTATTTGGTCATGGTGAACTCAGTGTGGGAGCCCAGGCCACGGTACAAACATACATTAAAAAAAAAAAAAAAAAAAATCAGTATTCCTTGTCAACATCAGCTTTTAAAACATGTTGGCTAAATGCTTTTTAGATAAACATTTTTTTAAATTCTAGTGAGGACAAATTCTTATTCTAAGAATATATATTTTTGAAAAATACAGTTGATCAGTAGCTTGAATACTACTTACATCCAGCTTAAATATAAAGCGAGATAAGAGTAAAAGGGCAGGACAGGAACACTATCCTGGAAATCAGGGTTAAGTCAGATACTTAACAGGTCTCTAATTAAAGTAAAATGGTCTGTCCCCAACTCCCTTCTACTTTTACTCTTACCTGCTGCAGGCTTGTTCAGCCCACAATATATTTTTGAAATTTAATATCATCTACTTCCAAATGCCTCTAGTGATGGAAATTCTACTATCCTTTTGGGAAGCTACTGTAGATTAGCTATTTTTCCAGTATGACGATTCTGAGTCAAGGTAACTTTAAGATCTATTTATCATAGCAATAGAACTCCAGTACATAGAAAAACTGAATAAGGGCTTCCAAACCTAAATAACCTGTTTGACACAGTATATCTCCATTAAGTCTTGGTAGAGCAAAAATATATCTCTGGCTGAGCAAAGGCAGAGTTTGAGGCTTCTACTGCTTTACACAGAAAGAAAACTGGAGGCAGTTCTTATTTTATTTTGGTGTTATTTTTGCTGATCTGGGACCCCACTATGTAATTTTAAGACTAGATGAAATACATGGTAAGCTTTGCATACCTTCATCATTTTGACTTGTTGACTTCCATGTGCTTTCAGATACATCTGACACAGCACGGCATTCTGAGTTCTCTGTGGTACAATAAGATGCAAATAGTTCGTTTTCATATTGTTTGTAGGCTTCTTCCTTCTCACTGAAGGACTCAAATGTATCGTCTGAATAATCTGAAATACAGCTACTGTAACTACTGTCCAATTCCATCTGCTTGTCCTCACAGCTCCCAGGTCACCATAGGATAGTACTAAAAATAGTAATAAAAGGTAATATTCATAACAGAGTCAGTAACATAACTGCAGTAGAGCTACTAGCCTGGAAATTAGCAGTGCAATTTACATAGCCAGCTTACAAAGAGATGTTACAGGATTCAGCCTTCCTCTGTGTGTTCAAGGATGCAGCTCAACTCCAAGTTTGTTGGCAAAACATGAGGATGAAATAGTTATTTCAAGAATTTCCAATACATCAAATTAATTTGCAATGCATCCAAGTATTTTTTACATCACTGCAGACATTGCAACCTTTTAAAACACTAATGCAGAGAAGCACATATCATTACTTCTGCCATCACATCACCAAATGACCTTATTGCTGCAGTTGCTTATGAAAGATTGAGGCATATACTTCAGGTATTTTAGTATCAAATCTATTGTAGGACAAAGACATTTCATTTCTAAAAATGTCCAGAACCAAACAATGTGCAAATGTAGCTACATTTACTTCTAAATATGTATTTTTAAATTTATAAACAACCCTTAAATTGTGAAATCCTTAATTAGACAAAATTATCACTGAAGTCAGTGGATATTCAGTCAAAGTAAAAACAAAAGACTAGATTCTCTCAACCTTATTCATAGAAGGGCTACTCTGTTAGTATGGCACTGCTTCATGGAAGCCAAGTTCAAGCCCTGAGTAAAGAATTCAGGGTACCACTCTTTTATGATTATGACTACCTCCTCCAATTTACCTTTTGATACCTCACCTTTCAGGAGAGGACTTTACAAAAATACTATGCAACTGTGCTAGTAAAAATTAGTGTAAAAACTTTATAATAAAATTACGGATAACAGTTTCTTATACGAATGTGAAAACAAAAAGATCAAATGTTTGCTTTACGTTGCTGTGGGTTTTCATACCTCTCATTAGTCATTTAGAAATGCAAACTGTCCTTGGTTTACTCAACTTTATGCTGTGAAAAAAAAGGAAAAATAACAAACACCATGTCTTTGATACATTCAAATTAATGAAAGTTTATCCCAAGTCTGAGGGAAAGAAAAAGCAAAACAAAACCAAACTACAAGGGAAAAAACAAACACTCAAGTTGGTAACCAGTCATGAAGAACTGATCTCACTTACTTTATCCTCTCTTTGGAAGAAACATTGATTAGGACATAATTTCATTCTATTCAAGAAAATGCTCTGCTCCACTGTATATTTGAGATACTATAATAGCACTGGATACAGAGAACTAGAAGCACCTTGATAGAGTTTTTGTACAGCTTACAAATGTCTTTCATGATAAAGCACTCACAGATACTCTTGCCTCCCTGGTCTTCACGTTAGATTGTTTAATAAAATATTAATCCCATATTTCTTAAGCAAGAAAATTTATTATCCATTTTAGACCCAATTTGTATTTCTTGTTCATTCATGTAAAACAGATCAGTTCCAAACTTCACATCCCTGAGTTTCTTTCTTAAAAAAAAAAAATTAAAGGAAACCTCTATTTAAATGCAGATCAGCCACTCACTGAACAAAAGATAACAATTTAACAAAACAAATTATTCCTTAAGGAAAAAGTAATTATTTTTCTTTAAATGAGGCTAAACGTTCTCTACTCACAGACAGGTACTTCACGTTAAAAATAACTTTGTCAGTGAATAGAGCCTTTATACTGATGGACACAGTTAAGTTGAAAAACAATTGACAAAAATGACCCTTTAATGGAAAAATGTCCACGTGCATGAATAAGGCTCTGATCTGAAAACCAACAAATGCTTATATTTAAGCAAGAGGGCAGGGCCACCGAATTATCTAGAAGATATATGGAAGCAAATCTTCTCCACGAGTAAGCAAATTGTGGGTAAAACGACATCAAAGGAAGAGGATAAAGTAAGCAATACTGGTGTTTTAAAATATTTACAAGAGTAACATGAGCATGTCACTGTCATTCCCTTCTTGATAACATGAGGAGGGGGTTTTAGTCACAAATTCACACGCTAAAAGATATCAGAGAAGTCGGGCTGGAAAGGGCCTCTGGAGGTCACATCTAGTCCAACTTCCCCCTGCCTGAAGCAGGATCACCCCTAGCCAAACCATCCTATACAAATCTTTGTCTCACTTATTCTTAAAAGTCCACAACTTAACCCTGTTACATGACTACAAGGCATATAACACCCTAACCTGCCAGACACCAAGCAGCAGGACAACAGTGGTCAAAATCCAGCTTCTGCAAGAGCTGTTAAAATACAATCAAGAGATCCAATGAAGAGGCCATGCCCCTCACTACAGAGGAAGGTAAAAACCCCCACAGTCCTTACCAATCTGGTCATGAGGGCAAATTCCTCTCTGACCCCAAAGGCAGTGACTGCTCTGACCCTGAGCAGAAGGGCAAGATTCTCTTGTCAGGAATCTCTGGGTTTTAGTCCCAGCAGAAGCATCAGCACACTCCTGTCACTACTATACTTAAACGATACTGACTATGTTCACCAAACTGGTACAGGGCAAAAGACTGATGTGGAACCTCACCCAATCACATACAACTAACAAAGATACTTCCATTTGCAAAATGCATTTAAGGTGAAATCCTGGCTCTTATATCTATTGGTCAAGGGATGGTCTGCCATACTCTTCAACAGAGTCAGAATTTTACTGGGATTATTCAGCACTGCACTGAGATACGCAAGTAAATTAAATTACTAGTACCAGTGGAAATTCCCCTTCCACACAACTGAAGGACCAGACCCAATTAAATCACAAGCTTAATCCTTTTTCCCACTGAAATCATAAAACAAAAGTAATCTTAGTGAAACATGCTGAGTCCACCTCCTAAAAACAGATAAAGAAAAATCTGTAATACAAAGATTTAATTTACAAATTGTCTCACATTCAATGTTCTGTGAAAGTTTTCATTTAAGAGTAAACTAACTACAATGATCTCCCTGCAATAATAAACAGAAGAGCAGAATGAAGAGCCCAATCTTGTTCTCTCCGGCAAAACTCCTGATGACTTCAATAGTGAAGAATCAGGACTAAAAACACATAGGTATTACACAATGGATTAATCTGAACCTAGTTTATATATACACACACTGGTAATTTCTAAAAAGAAACAGAAAACCTTTTTATGCAGGTCAAGTTGCAAATCTACAGGTACAAGATCGGAGACTTAATACCTTTGCAAAAGCATTTTTATCAATGTTATCATGTAAATTTGAACAGCTTATATGAAAAAATCATGCAACTTTTGTATTGATAAAATCAGTTTTGGTACCAGTATTTGGTATGAGACAAACCAATTTGTAATTTTGTAATGTTAATCCTCTAGGATTTCATTATCTGCCCTTAATCTTAGGTATTCTCATGTACATTATAACTGTGAACATCTGACATGACAAGATGTCACATTTATGTATTAAGTAATGTCATCATCTTTACAAAGATTCTGTATACTGTAGAGTCTGCTATTTGGCAACCACTGATTTCAACAGTATACACTGGCCCTGACTGATACCAGTGTATGTCCTGGAACTAAGATCCACTCAACAGGACCTGAAATCCCCATTCTTCCATGCTTAGAAACACAAATGTCCACACATCTCCTGTGACCATGTATATTAATTCTGAATCAGCTAACAATTCAAACACAGACTAACCCATAGATAATACCTTCCCTTTGCTATAAGAGACTCTCTCTGTTCAACCATTATTTCAGCAATCAAGGAAGTCCTTGCATTAGCTCAGTAGAAAATTTTACAAAATTCACTTGGTAAGAAGCATCATTCCTAAATTGCAAATACTTTTTTTTTTTAATTTTGGTGAAATATTTTATTTGCTTCCTTTTTATTTAGAAAGAAGAAGTGTGTTTTCACATCTAGGGCAGAAAGAACTCCTAGGTTCTTTTCCCAGTTCTACACTTGTGAATTTCTGAAAGCTTGATAGAGACTTTAGGGCAAGATTTCATAGAATCATAGACTCAAGGAGTCGGAAGGGACCTAGACAGATCATCTAGTCCGACTCCCTGCCACAAGCAGGAATGAGCACTGGGGGTGGGAGGGATCATAAGACCCCAGCCATGTGCCTATCCAGTCTCCTCTTGAAGATTTACAGGGAAGGTGAGAGCACCACCTCCCTGGGAAAAGGTATTTAAGATAGGGCTAGGACAAACAGAGCACTTAGGCTCCAAAAATAAAGCATTTAAGAAGACTAAGCTTACTAGCCCTTGGAGTGGAAGCCAAAGCCCTGTCCTAAGTTTCTAGGCTCTTTATACAGTTCAGTGGGAGACTTAAGTACCTCAGACTGCTAAAACATTTAGCATTCTAAAGCATGGAACAGCACAGTCTGCAAGGAGGATGCAATCCAAGCACCTCATTCAGGACCCTCTCCTAAAGACATATGCCTACCCCCTTTCTTTCAAAGAACCAAACAAGGCGCAGTCATATTTTAAAACATTTACAATCCTCATAAACCCATATTTTTTCAAAGGAAAATGATAGCTGAGATGACTTACTAAATCAGGTACCTCAGGAAACATAGCTGAAGGAACACCTAATTTCTGGATCCCAACCATGCTTAGGCCTCAGCTAGATGTCCCAATGCTGAGCCCTGTCAAGACTGGGGCAGTTCTGAACCTGTGCAGAGGTGCAATGCTACACACCTAGAGAACTTTAGTTAAAGAATAAAGAACTTACAGATGTAAAGAACCTCACAACTGGAGCTTGGGCACCTCTGGAGTTAGGCAGCAACTGAGCAAAGGTTTTTTTGAACTATGGTTTTGGATATGAGCCCGTAAGTCCTTTATTGGATCTAGCTAGTTCCTAGCAGTCTTTTCAAGCCCCAAATCCAGTTAGGCTTTGGATTCCTACGGATTTCAATGAGAGTTGGAGACCCAGTGAGTTGATTTTTAAAGATGCACAATTCTACCTGCTTTCCACAGGAGCTGCCAGTACTTAGTATCTATGAAAGCCAAGCTGTGTCCTTATATTCATCTGTAAAAGGGGTACATCACACATGGAGATTATAAGACTT